AGGATGGAGCCAGGCTCTTCTCGGTGACAAACAATGATAGGACAAGGGGTAACGGACACAAACTGGAACACAGGAGGTTCCACTTCAATTGGAGAAGAAACTTCTTCTCAGTGAGGGTGACAGAGCACTGGCCCAGGCTGCCCAGAGAGGTTGTGGAGTCTCCTTCTCTGCAGACATTCAAAACCCGCCTGGACGCCTTCCTGTGTAACCTCATCTGGGTGTTCCTGCTCCGGCAGGGGGATTGGACTGGATGAGCTTTTGAGGTCCCTTCCAATCCCTAACGGTCTGTGATTCTGTGATTCTGTGATAGTGCGCATGAGTGTTGCATCTAAGTTGAATATTTTGTGATAGTTTGGGAAAACAAAGTGGAGAAAAAAAGTGCCTGGGATCTAAGGGTTATTTAGGACCCATTAAACAATGGTGAGAGCTGCTGTTAGCAAGGGTTTATGACAGTATTCGAGTCAGCCAAGTTTAACCCTTTATGTTGATGCAGAAAGTGGTAACTCGGCTATGATCAGGGTTAGGGCTAGGGGAAAAAATAGAAGAGCTTGGCTTATTACAGGGTCTTTTAAATACTGGTGAGTTAGACAAAGGAATAGAGCTGATTAAGGGATAATTCATCTTGTTTTCATTCACATGTAGGTTAGCTATGGTAAAGGTCAGCCATAACATTCAACAAACAAATTGCTAAAGGTCACAATTTATTTCTGCGGTCCACATCTGTATCACACATAGAGGTCCACAGTCCTACCAGTCTGCATGAATGGATTAGCACTAACATCTGGAAACAACAGAGCTGAAATGATCACAGAATCACAGAATCCCAGAACGTTAGGGATTGGAAGGGACCTCAAAAGCTCATCCAGTCCAATCCCCCTGCCGGAGCAGGAGCACCCAGATGAGGTTACACAGGAAGGCGTCCAGGCGGGTTTTGAATGTCTGCAGAGAAGGAGACTCCACAACCTCTCTGGGCAGCCTGGTCCAGTGCTCTGTCACCCTCACTGAGAAGAAGTTTCTTCTCCAATTTAAGTGGAACCTCCTGTGTTCCAGCTTGTGTCCGTTACCCCTTGTCCTATCATTGTTTGTCATCGAGAAGAGCCTGGCTCCATCCCAAGATAGGACAAAAAAGGATTCTTTTGGTCATGCTTCAAATTGTGACAGCGCAAGCCTTTCTCGTTATCTTCTAGGCATATGTAAATCTCGGGAAGTTTGCATCCTGGGAGCAGTCACAAGGGTCTTGCTGCTCCAAAGATGAAGATATTTAAGAGTGATGCTGCTGTAAACACAGAAGTTCACAGCCAGATGGTGTTGGGGGGGATTTGGCATCTCTCTGCCCATTAAAATAATGTGGTGCTAGTTTGGATGGGAATCTGAGTGCCAGGTTCTTGGTACATCTTGGACCCTGAGCAAGCCTGAAGGGTTTTAGTGACAAGCAGTCTTTGGAACACGGTCACTTTGGCGCACCATGCAACCATGAATTGGAGAATTTTGGCCAAGAAAATAAAGGGAACCCCCTACCCTTATAATAAAGAAAATAGCAGACAGATGGTAAGCAACTCAATGCATGGTGAGATGTCAAAACATGTTGAGCACCATATTGGGACCTGTTTAGGGAACATCACAGAGCTATTTATTCTGTTACGCTTTTGAATGACCTATTAATTTAATACTACAGGATAAGCCCTTGTGTTTTACAATTGCAGGTTTGCTGGTGATCCTTCAAGTTCAGTGAGGTTATCCGCAGGAGCAGCTGCCAAGATCAAGAAGTGATGTATCATTTAACTGTTATGAAGATGAAGAACTAGTGCACTGCGATACAAAATTGATAAAAAGTATCAAAAGGATGAAGGAATCATCACTTTCACTCTGAAGACTTCAGATCACCAATTTAAACAAAATACATGTTCTTCTGAAAAGGTATGTATTTTTTTTTAACGTGACACATCAGGAATGGGTACTATTTTTCTTTCCTCTACTCCCTCCATCTGCCACTTCAGCTTCTTTTCTTAAAGTCTGATAACAGTTCTGGTGCAGCTGTAGTTTTATGCTACAATTTCATTTTGCTGGTAGACATTCTTGTTTAGGTGAGTCTTTTACGCAGCAACAGAAGAGTAAAAGCAGTAAGTGATCTTCTACCACACGGCTGCTTCTAGCAAAAGATGCATTTAAGGTCCTTCTTAAAGGGAACTAATCTAACCTGAGCCCTCACCTAACTTATAAGGAAAACTGTGTATGTCCCAAACAATGCTTTTAATAGCCAGATTCCTTGCTTGCAAACAGATAAATCATTATTTATGAAAATGAAGTTATAAACATGAAAATTGTAGCAACTTAAACTCATACCATAGTTAAACCTGCTGGGCACTTGAGAGGCCGGTTATCCAACCAAAGCAGACTTGTTAGCCAAGCAGCTCAGCTGCCTGGCCAATTTGGGATATTGTGTGGGAGCCCCAGCGCTAGTGTTGATGTTGTAGAAGGGAAAGGGCAGCCTAATGTGGATGAGATGAAACCTTTAATGGTCACACTCCTCATCCAGTCTGTGGATCAGCTGTTCTGCACCATCCTGCAGAGAAGACGGAATCAGCCGCACCTTGTTACTTGAACACAATATGGAAATGAGCTGTCAGAAAGTGAACCCAGCTCTTCTGTTTCTCCCATTTCCTAACTCTAAACTAATATACAGATATGGTAATTTCCCTAATGGCATTAGAAACTGTGTGGATATTTAACAGTAATTTTTGCAATTAAAAGAGAGGGACCGAATGGCATTTGCACAGGAGAAGGTAGGCTGGAGAAAGGGAAAGGCAGAGGAATATAAAGTTGTCCTCTTAATCTGGATGGCAGACAATAAGAATTGCCCAAAATCTAGGAGACAGTATGCCTAGAAACAATAGGGTTCCAAATATCAAGGCAGGATGTATTATTTTACTAAAATGCACTAGCATGAAAATTGAGCAGATTATGAAAATGAAGCTCTTTATTGCACTTCTTTTTAAGAGCTGATCCCTCCTGTGCAATGCAGTTGTGGACGAGACATAGACAATGACAGTGTCCTGAGTAGGATCTAAAAATCAAACTGGCAGTGCAGATGGTGGACAATTAATTAGATATTAAAAACTCTTTCAGGTTCAGTAAGTTGAAGTGAACCCAGATATCGAAGTCTGAGCCAAGAAGTACACCAAAAATGTCAGTTTTCTAGGGGTGGACTGGAAGTAGAAGGAAGCACAGATCTGTGAAATGATTTGTGTAACCGTTTTCACCAAAAGGCTTGTCAAGCATTGGAACAGGCTGCCTGGGGAAGTGGTGGAGTCACCATTCCTGGAGGTATTGAAAAGATGGGTAGGTGTGGTGCTCAGGGACATGGTTTAGGGTGGAGTTGGCAATGCTTGGTTAATGGTTGGACTCACTGATCTTAAAAGGTCTTTTCCAACCTAAGCGATTCTACAATTATCTAACATATTAAATCCATCAGTGCCTTACTTTATCAGCTAGATGCCAAGCCAGTATAAACACAACCAAAATGATTGCTGGACAGCAAAACATCATTTTATGTCACTACACAGCAACATAATTATTTTTAAGGAACCCTATCACCTAGATGTCTGTTACCAGCTTAAATCCTGCCAAAATGCTGTGTAACAATGAGCTGTACTTTGAAATAGATCCTGCTTTGCATAACTGTGATGCTTGCAGATAGCATCAATGCTTCGTGCTGATGTTCTCCACTGACATCACTGCACTGATCCACTGTTCCACAAGGTCATGCTGCATTCCCCTTAGCATTTTGATGGCTGGCACGCAGGCACATTGGAGGGGATGCTGAGCTGGAACATTTTCACCAATGCTTCACTTGAGAGCTAATTACCCTATATATGAATAAAGTGTCCACACGTATCACACACACACAGGAAAAAAAAAAAGGACATAAAGGTCAAATAATCATTTAACAGAAGATTTAAGGCGTCTGAAAACGCTTTTATTTCCCCTCTGGCTGTCCTACCTGGCAGTTAGCTGCTGCCAACTATGACACCTAATCGAGAGTTGAACCAGCTCCAGTCAGAACTATTACGAATGAGTAATTTTCAAGATTTGGCAAAGAATTAGAACAAAAAAAAGGTTATATACAGGGCAAGTGCCGTACACTTTATGGGACAAACCCGCGAGAGCAGAGCAGCACACGGCAGCCCCGGACAGCCGCGACCCGGCCCAGCTCACGCCCGGCTGCGGGGGCCCTGCCTG